TGCAGAGGGAGGAGACACTGAATGTTTGGATGTATTTTAGGCAGCCATGACCCAGGAAGGATCTCTAACAGCCATCTAAGGAGTGGCCAGTGAAGTTATCACTAGGCTGTAATGAAAAGACTGCATTTTCTGTGAAAAGACAGTGTTTACAGCAAAAAGCCTGACGGTAATGATTCTACTCACCAGAACAAATTCAATAAGCTCTAGTTCTTCTGTTGACTCTAGTGTCCCTTTAACTATATTCATTGTCAGCCAGTCCACACAAGTTTTGTTCCCATACATCCCTCTTAAGTTTCCATACTTAAGTAAGAGTATGTGAAAAGTAGTTAGGGTTGCCACCTTTCTTGGAAAAACATACCGGCCTTGCTAATTTGCAAAATTAAATATGTATGGGTGACATCACATGATGTAAATCACAAGGAGTGACATAAGAGAAAATGTTGTAAAATCACCAAAAAACTACTTAGTTTGATTCTGCTGTATAGATGGATTCCTCCCAGTGGCCCCATATCTCCCAGTGCCCCCATGTGTTGATTACTCCAGGTCTCAGTGTTCCTACGTATCAGTGTCTCCCTGTGTCCCCATGTATCCCAGGGTCCCCATGTCACTAGGAAGACGGGAAGACCTGGGGACACAGGGAGACCTAGGGACACGGAGACACCAGTGACACTGGGAGAATAGGGGACTCTGGCTGGGACGCATGGGGACACTGGGAAAATAGGGGACACTTGAAGACATGGGTACATAGACACCAGGGACACAGACACTAGAGACACTGACTGGGGGACATGGGGACATTGAGACATGGGGGCACTGGGAAACATGGGGACAAGGAGACACCAGGGCCACAGACACTAGGGACACTAGCTTGGAGACATGGGGACATTGAGACACTTGAGGCACTGGGAGACATGGAGGCACTAGGAGACATGGGGACAGTGAGACACTGGCAGACTGGGGGCACTGGGAGACTAGGGGGCACTGAGACACCAGGGACACTGGCAGGGAGACATGGGGATACTGTGTCCCCATGTGTCTGTGTCATAATGTCTCCCAATGTCCCTTAGTGTCTCAGTGTCTGCCATAATGTCTCCCAGTGTCCCTTAGTGTCTCAGTGTCTGCCATAATGTCTCCCAATGTCCCTTAGTGTCTCATTGTCTGCCATAATGTCTCCCAGTGTCCCTTAGTGTCTCAGTGTCTGCCATAATGTCTCCCAGTGTCCCTTAGTGTCTGCCATAATGTCTCCCAGTGTCCCTTAGTGTCTCAGTGTCTGCCATAATGTCTCCCAGTGCCCCTTAGTGTCTCAGTGTATGTCTCCTTGCAGCCTTTCCCCACCCCTTACTTCCCTGAGCTGTAGGCTGTCTCTGCAGGGTGGGAGTTGCTGTCTGGACTCTCTGTAGCTGCACCCCTGCAGATCAGTGAGTATCGATAGGCAGGGAGGGACATGCTGGAACTTCCTATCCCTGCCTCTCTCGATGCACAGTGACCCCTACTGGCCAGTGCTGGTATTGCAGAGTAATCTCTTGTTTATACTGAGAAAAATACCAGCATTTGTATTGCCAGTATCACTGAAATATTGGCACCAGCCAGGCAGCCTCAAATACTGGCTGTGCCAATAAAATAAAAGCCAGGTGGAATCCCTAAGAGTAGTGTGTGAAAAAAAAAAAAATGTAAGAAAAAAAATAAATTCATTTTTTTTTTTTTTTAATAAATCAATGGGCCTATTCCATGGGCCTGGGCCTGGAGCTGCAGCTCCATCAGCCCCTATGTTAATCCGGCCCTGATGAGACGGAGTCTACAACCCACACAAGTGGCTCAGGTGGTGCAGCTCATCCAGGATGGCACATCAGTGTGAGCTGTGTCTGTCAGCATAGTGTCCAGAGCATGGAGGCGCTACCAGGAGACAGGCCAGTACATCAGGAGACATGGAAGAGGCCATTGGAGGGCAACAACCCAGCAGCAGGATCGCTACCTCCGCCTTTTGTGCAAGGAGGAGCACTGCCAGAGCCCTGCAAAATGACCTCCAGCAGGCCACAAATGTGCATGTGTCTGCTCAAACGGTCAGAAACAGATTGCATGAGGGTGGTATGAGGGCCCGACGTCTACAGGTGGGGGTTGTGCTTACAGCCCAACACCGTGCAGAACACCAAGATTGGCAAATTCGCCACTGGCACCTGTGCTCTTCACAGTTGAAAGCAGGTTCACACTGAGCACATGTGACAGATGTGACAGAGTCTGGAGACGCCGTGGAGAACGTTCTGCTGCCTGCAACATCCTCCAGCATGACCGGTTTGGCAGTGGGTCAGTAATGGTGTGGGGTGGCATTTCTTTGGGGGGCCGCATAGCCCTCCATGTGCTCGCCAGAGGCAGCCTGACTGCCATTAGGTACCGAGATGAGATCCCCAGACCCTGGCTGGAGTGTGTCAGCAGTTCCTGCAATACAAAGGCATTGATGCTATGGACTGGCCCGTCCATTCCCGAGACCTGAATCCAATTGAGCACATCTGGGACATCATGTCTCTCTCCATCCACCAACATCACATTGCACCACAGACTGTCCAGGAGTTGGCAGATGCTTCAGTCCAGGTCTCGGAGGAGATCCCTCAGGAGACCATCCGCCATCTCATCAGGAACATGAACAGGCGTTGTAGGGAGGTTATACAGGCACGTGGAGGCCACACACTACTGAGCCTCATTTTGACTTGTTTTAAGGACATTACATCAAAGTTGGATCAGCCTGTGTGTTTTTCCACTTTAATTTTGAGTGTGACTCCAAATCCAGACCTCCATGGGTTGGAAAATTAGATTTCAATTTTTTAATTTTTGTGTGATTTTGTTTTCAGCACATTCAACTATGTAAAGAACAAAGTATTTCAGAAGAATATTTAATTCATTCAAATCTAGGATGTATTATTTTTGTGTTCCCCTTATTTTTTTGAGGTGTGTGTGTGTGTGTGTGTGTGTCCCGTTACAAACTGGTCTCGCAAAGCAGTGGGCAGGTAGTCCCCAAAACAACATGTTCTGACAAGTTTCCGTAATGCGATGGCATATGCTAAAATTGAGTCCCCAGGCTCTTGCCTTCTTTTTATAGAATTTAAATCTTTTTGCTATCGCTAGCTGTTTTGGTTGGAAATGGCCACTTAGCAGAGTAACCAAGCTTGCTAATGGCTTGCTGGCAGGTTTCTCTGGGTGTAAAATGCTCTTTAGAGTTTCATACGTTCTGGCTCATATAACTGTCAGCAAAACTGCTACCTGTTTGGTGTCAGGAATATCATTAGCAGTGAAATATTGTTCAAGCCTTTCAACCCAAGAAGCCTATAAATCCGAGTCAGGATCAAAGTCCTTTATAGTGCCAATGGCTGCCATGTCAGATTGGGTTCTACAGCCTCATCACCACTGTGATGTTTTGTACAAACAGTCAATAATTCCTGTACTCACTTTATTATTACATATACAACAGGATCTTCATATTGGTGCATAAGGTAGTGGCTTATGCCAATGACATGCTTTTTATGTCACTCCCAGCTCTGATGGCCCTGCTCACCCAATATGGGTGCTTCCCGAACTTCAAGCTTACCAGATTAACATGCATAAATTGGATATTCTTGACATCACCGTTCCACAGGCCTGCTCACATAATCTACATCCTAGAGATGAGCGAACCCGAACTGTAAAGTTCGGGTTCGTACCGAACATTAAATTTTTTGGACCCCGAGCCCGGACATTTCAGTGACGGTTTGGCGATTTAATGGCTCGTTCTGAAAAGCTGCAGGGAAGCCAATCAACAAGCGTTTGACTTGTGTGCCCTTAGAAGCCACCACAGCCATGCCTACTAATGGCCTGGCTGTGATTGGCCAGTGCAGCATGTGACCCAGCCTCTATATATAAGCTGGAGTCAAATGAGCTCTTATGAGTGTAGGGAGAGGATTCTGCAGCTGTGAGAAACAGATTAGGAAAGAATTCTGGTGTTGAATCTGCAAACTACAGCAATTATTTTTGTGGGTGCTATACTACATTTTTGTACCCTGCCCTGAGCCCAGTGCCACAGAGAAATAAGCAATCAGTCTGTTTGTTAGGTGGGCACTTGCAACTGCATGTGTGCCAGGCACCTTACTTTAATCCTGTTCTAGTAGCTCAGTGGGCAACATCTAGGCATTTTTAAATACTGCTCTGACATTGCAGTTTGACAAATTCAACTTTTTTTGGTGCTAAAAAGTAAATTTGTGGCGTGCACTTCATATCTGAGAGTCAAATAGAACCGTAAAATACTGTGGTTACATCGCACTTTAAAAAATTGATATTTCTTTGGTGCTTAATAGAACATTTTCGGCCTGCAGTGCATTTGTACTCCCCTTCCTCCTCTACCACCTCCTCATCCGGTCAGCGTAACACCTTCATCACCAACTTCAGCACAGCCAGGAGGTAACGACAGCAGGCTGTTTTAAAACTCATAGGTTTGGGGGGAAAACCCCACACCGCACAGGAGCTGTGGACGGGCATGGAACAAACCGATGAGTGGTTGTTGCCACTGAGCCTCAAGCCAGGCCTGGTGGTGTGCGATAGTGGGCGAAATATCATAGCAGCTCTGGGCCTAGCCGGTTTGACGCACATCCCTTGCCTGGCACATGTGCTGAATTTGATGGTGCAGAAATTCCTGAAAAACTACCCAGATATATCAGAGCTGCTGCAGAAAGTGCGGGCCGTCTGTGCGCGCATTCCGCGTTCTCACCCTGCTGCTGCTCGCCTGTCTGCGCTGCAGTGTAAGTTCGTCCTTCTCGCTCACCGCCTCATATGCGATGTGCCCACAAGGTGGAACTCCACCTTGCACATGCGGGAGAGACTGTGCGAGCAGCAGCAGGCGATAGTGGAGTTTCAGCTACAGCACGCACGGGTCAGTCACTTTGCACCAGACTTGCCCTCCAATAGATCCTTGTTAAAGGATTTAAAGTGTACTCACTCCAATTACAGGGCCTCGAAAGAGTCCTGTATTGTTATTTATCGTCACTACCTCCCTGCGTCCGGAGTGGGTAATTTGTGCGCCTGCTGCCTTCCTTGGCTGTGGTAGCCGTTTCTCAGGCTCCCTCTCCGGAATAGAACTCGGATTCCCTGTTAGCCGTGGTCACCATGGTAGGCGCAGAAAGTACCATCGAAAGTTGATAGGGCAGACAGCCGAATGCGTCGTCAACGTCACGGGGACGTGCGATCAGCCCGAGGTTATCTAAAGTCACCAAAGTGCCTGCGCAACGACTGCTGAGTTGCCCACATTCTAACTTGTGCTGATTACTGGGTGGCCAGCCTGCTAGATCCCCGTTACAAGGACAACGTGCCATCCTTAATTCCCTCACTGAAGCGTGATTGGCAGATGCGCGACTACAAGCACACGCTGGTAGATGCGCTGCTGTGGGCATTCCCAACTGACACCAGGGGCTCAGTGCAAGCACAAGACGAAAGCAGAGGAGGAGGAAGAGGCCGCCAATGCAGTTGGGGCACCGCCAGCACCTCAGAAGGCAGGGTTAGCATGGCTGAACTGTGGAAAAGCTTTGTCAGCATGCCACAACAACCAGCACCACCAGCTGATATGGAACATCTTAGCAGGAGGCAGCATTCCAGCAACATGGTGGAACAGTACATGTGCACACGCCTACACGTACTGACTGATGGATCTGCCCCATTCAACTTCTGGGTCTCCAAATTGGGCACATGGCCTGAGCTTACCATTTATACCTTGGAGGTGCTGGCCTGCCCTGCAGCCAGTGTATTGTCTGAACGTGTGTTTAGCACGGCAGGGGGCGTTATCACAGACAAGCGCAGCCGTCTGTCCACAGCCAACGTGGACAAGCTCACATTTATTAAAATGAAGCAGGCATTTATCCCATCAGACTTGTCTGCATCTTGTGCAAAATAGACATTTATACCGGCCTCACCCAGCCATTGTTATACTCAAGTGCACTTATTATTTTCTTTTTTTTTGTATGTCCCAATATTTTGGGGGCTACCCCAATTGTTTGCAGGGCACTTGTCCTACTCTTACCCACATTTTACTTCCTTTTGCAGCCCTCTAACCCTTTCCAGGACATTTTTAGAGCCATTTTAGTGCCCAAAAGTTCGGGTCCCCATTGACTTCAAAGGGGTTCGGGGTCAAGTTTGAGGCCGAACTCAAATCTTTTGCCGAAGTTCGGCCAAGCCCGAACATCCAGGTGTCCGCTCATCTCTACTACATACCAGTTTCCTGTTCTGATGGTGCTATCAACAGATGAAGTACAGATATGGCTGTCACTTGACATTTCCTTCCTGCACCAATACAACCTGTCAGACATTTTGTGATAAGATTGAAATTAAATGATACAGGAAGTCACTATTAAGCAGATGTGACTCAATTTTATAACAAAATGTAACAAGATGCAGCCACAAGTATTTTCTTTTCTTTTTTACTCTATTAAACAAAATGATTGGAATGCGACTAATGTACATTAATTGAGATAAGACATTTCTTACAAAGTGTTTGGGGGGGGATTTTATATATATTTATATATATATATATACATATATATATATATATATAGAAAGGGTTAACAATGAAGTACATGACTACTATAAATGGACAAGACTATATTAAACAGCAATTGTTAAATATCAGCTTAAAAGTAAAACCTTTTGCAGATCATCAAAGAAATAACCCTTTAACCTCTGGTTACAGAAATACATGTTTGTTGCTGAATGATCAATATCGTTTTTAGCTGATGTAATCTTGTCATGTTATTTTTGCTGTAACTTCTGTCTATAAATATGTTTGCCTGACCCTTAATACACTGGTAGTAGCCCAATTTGAAACACGTTATTCTGTGTATCAATGAAACACTCTCCCCAAATGTTCAGTCTAAAAGTGAGGTGCGTTTTGCACAGAAGTGTAATATGACCCCAATATATATACATGTGTGCTTTGAATTTAATCAGTTATGGATTATGTTAGGTGATGTAGTGTTGGCTGAGGTGTACTGAAACCAACGAACGAGTAGGCCTGTAATAAAAGATGGCCTACTAAGGTAATGAAAATGTAATAAGTGAAGGCTGAAGGTGGGTGGGGTCAATCTGCGTGAACGGCATAGGTAAGTAGGAGGTTAGAGTTTAAAAAGGGGACATAACTCCTACCACAAATTCAGGCCTTATGGCCTATCTATTTGTGCTCAGAATTGAATCAGTTATGGATTATGTTAGGTGATGTAGTGTTGGCTGCGGTGTGCCGAAACCAACGAACGAGTAGGCCTGTAATAAAAGAGGGCAAAAGAATGATGCAAAAAAACCCCACACTTTATTGCTTCTTAAAAGGCTAAACGTTTAAATGCTTGTCTTAGTTCTTTTTCTGGTTGTGGGATATATGTATTATAAATGGAGGATTTCCATCGGCCCAGTCTCTTAATGATGTGGACTGGCGTGTTAGCGCTAGATGCCGATGAAGCTGCTCCTATCCGGAAGGAGTGTCAACAGAAGGAAGAGGGGTTGTAGCCTAACCTTAGTTGTAAAGTTCTGATGTAAAACATGAACTTGGATGTGGTGAGTGGGTGATCGTGGAGTAGTAGTAGTGGAGAGTTAGGATGGTGACTGTGGTGAAAGCTTAGGAAAGTATCTAGTTCTTTAACTGGGCACCAGGTGTTTCCGGTAGGAAAGAGGGGAATTGTGGTAGGTAGATTGGTGTGATTTGTTTTAGAAGTTTGCAATGAAAGGAGGTAATGGTCGTTGACTTTAATCAGGTGAGAATTCTTTAAACTTATGTTGGCATCTGACTGGCGTATGACAGTGAATTCTCTAGGTCTAAGGAAGCCTTGGTAGGCAATGAATATAGCGACTTTAATTACAGAATTAGTCTGGGAATCAAAAGGTGTGGCGTCTAATAGTTCGCTGAGTTGTCGGAATATGGGCCCATCAATGGGCAGTCTACAGGTTGCAGGGGGGCCGATGGTTTTATTGATACCTTTAAGGATCTTTTTAATAGGGTGAGAGGATAGAAAAGGAAGGTGATTGGAAAAAGTGGTGAGAACTGGATGTTGTACCCCATGAGATATAGTTTGATGTTGTTGTGAGATCATTTTAGATGTAAGTGGCAAAAAGAGGCAAAAGCCACCATGTTCTCTATGGAGAAATTACCCTGTACTTGGAATTCTGTGGAAATTTGTGGAAAGTGGTTGTAGTGTTGGTTGAGAGTACGTGGTGCGTGAGTGATTGGGGATGACAGCTCGGTCACTCCATGATTAGTTCATGGAAAGAAGGTATTCTGGATGGTAGGTTGTAGGCAGTAGGGTGCGCCTGGAAGAATATCTGAAAACGAGAGCGTGAAAGAGCGTCAGCAGCTGTGTTATGATTGCCCGGGATATGTTCACAGACAAGTTAAATTGTGACGTGGCTGCTAGCAATGTCAACTTGCGGACCAACCTTATGATGGTTAATGAGGAGGAATGTCCTTTATTTATTTACTAAGATGTCAAACAGTTTAGGGATGCTCCTAGAACCAAATGTGAGTCGTGTTGTGAAATAGTATTTGCCCCTCCATTTAACGCCGTGTATGTGCCATAGTGACGGGTGTATAGGTAGGAGTTTAAAAGCATTAAAGCATTAGAGATGTCCATTTTACTCAGCCATGCTCGACTGCCTGCTAGTAAGATGGCTTGCATGGCGTTATCTATCGTGGCGTACTGGAGTGAAATCTCTTCAGCAGGTATGAGTGAGTTAATGCTGGCGGTGTGTGAAGAATGAGAAGCTGAGAGATCGAATATCAAGCGTTTTTTATTAGAAGACTTGTTTATGGCTAACCCAATGGGATTTGTGAGCCAGGTAAAGAAGGGGGGTCTTGGAAACGAGCAGATCATAAACCCTGCCTGGGTTTCTGCAGAGAGGAGGTAGTCCACTGTAGGAGGGTTGTTGGAGGCGGACAATGGATTAGGGCATTCTAAGGTGCCTGAGGGGATGGCAATTAGACCCGTGTGAAAACCCTGTGAGAACCCTGACACCAAAAAATCCACTAAGTGAATTGAGGGATAAGAGTGAAGGTAGTAAGCCAAAATGTCAATGTTAACCTCGGTCAGTCATTTCTTTGGGGCAAGCCTGGCCAGGCACATAGTTTTGGTGTGAGCTCTGAAGCAGATGGAGCAAAAGTGCAACAGCCTGCATGCACTGTAGCTACAGGCACCGTCGTTAAAATTGTTGCACAACTGCCCCTTGCCCAGAAACACTATGGGTCTGCCCAGCTTATCCCTCTGACCGCTTTCTTGCCTCGTGTTGGAGCTGAAGGTGTGGTGAGAAGAGGATCTGCCTCCCAGGGGCACAAATCGGTGGAGTGTGAAGGGGAATGACAAGCTGCCAGGCAGAACAATTCCATATCCATCTGACACCAGTCTATCCAAATGTTAAACTGGGCCAGATGAGTTGCTGCTTTGGCTGACACTGACTTGTGATAGTCGTAGAATGAGGAACCCCGGTATTTGATCCCTAAGTCAACCACTTGTGGATGTGCATGTATAAATTCAGTTCTTCCTTTTATGCGGGTACACAGAGCAGATGACATCTCTATAAATACCGAAAGCTATGACAAATTGAGGGATGGACAATTTTTTTGTTGAGACGAGGGTCTCTGGTTTTCAACACCACTGAAATGTCGCCATAGTTATAGGCTCTGTTCTCCAGAATGTCCTGTGAGGCAATAAGGAGGGAAACCAGACTGACATCCTTCCCATCCAATATGTATTTTTTAATGGAGGCTAGGACACAGTGGGCAGGGGAAACATTTAGGAATACCAGGGGAGGACCTGAAGGGCTTGGTAGGTTACCTGGAGTGGTGAAGGCTGTTTCCACCTTACACAGCCTTTGGTTAAGAGTCTGGAGGTTAGCTAGGATAGCTGACAGGGTTTTATTGCGTTGAGTCTGAGGTGCTGGTGTGCAGCCCTTGAACTTGTGCCAGGCCTGGGGTCACTGGACTGTGCTTTCAGCAGCCTTTCTGGCTGTGGCCGGGAAAGGGATGCCCCTATTCCTCAGTTCTGCTGACAGTTTCGGTATGGTCCATGATCTCAGGGACCTCGGGATAGTGGGGGTGAGGGATACTTCTGGTGACCCGGGCCTGGCTAGCGTACTGGGCAAATCTTGCATGGGCAGGCCATCACTTGGGATTGATTCCTATGACATCCTATGAAAAGGACATTGCTTAGCAGAATAGGGGGGAGGAAAGATCAAGACCTTCATAGAACTGGCTTGCTGACTAGTGACGAGGCTCTTAACTAAACATGATGGGTGAGGCCCTGCTAATGCCAATTGGCGTTGAGAGGCTCTACCTATGATTTGGACCGTGGGGGCTTGTGGCCAC